ATATATGCTTCTTGTTATCAAACAGATGAAGCTACAGGAAGCTGCTAGGTAGTTAGTATCCTGCCAGTTCATTTAGAAAACATGAAAAAAACAGTACTTTTCTTAGGACAAACACCGCAATATTACTAATATCTCAATAGATATACAGAAGTATTGCCTTAACAGAGTTGACACTACACCATTGAGAGCAAGGCAGCCAGTGATGAACTCTGTGAACTAGCAGATTGTCCTACAAACAAGAAGGCTAACTATTTAATTTTCCTCAGTGAATTCTGTAACATCCTCACATAGTGTGCATAAAAGCTACAATTACTAAACATAAATCAAGGTAACTAAAAAACCATCTTCCTCAAGATTTTTAAGTTATACTTACAAGTAACAGTTAATTTTACTAACAATTAAAGATAAAAGAGCACAGGTAACTTTGCCAGCTTTCAATTTTGCTTACTTTGCTCAATTAAACATAAGTTTAGCATCTGGATTAAGAATAAGAACCAAGTCTTGGTTGCACATGTTAAGGGACACAGTGCACTCATCCGATCTGCCAGGGAAGGGGTTTTTGGCATTTCCATCCTGTATCCTTTTGATAGGTGGCCACAGGAGAGTTTATCAGTCCATGACAATACATTTCAGAGTCTGAGCTCTTTCACAATGAGATGGAGAGAAACAAAGATGTCTCAGTCCCTCCCTCAGCTGTGAGGGTAGTATGTACACAGAAGTACTAAGAACTACTGTTGGGAACCTCTTCAAAAGCATGAAGTGGGCTTGCTTCTTGTACCCCACTCATAGTGATTTCACAGTGAGATTGGAAGAGTATGAGCTCCTTATCCATTTGCAATTACTCTGGAAAGAATACAACACAGTGGCAGTATCAGGATATATCTTATCTTCTGTAGTACTTTAGTACTAGCAACAGAAAAAACACAAACACAAAAAAAAAAAGGCATGGACTTTCCATGGTGACAGAGAAAAGAAAATGACAAAAAATTTCTGTGTCCTCTCCCTACTAATACAAGTAATAAAGGGAAATAACATAGTCCTGCCAACCGTTTCTGAAGAAGTTCAAGAAGAGCCCTGTACTATTCAAACAGGAGCAGTATCTGGAAGAGCCAACTCCAGCACAGCAGGAACTTTTCTTCAAGTACTCAGAAATTCTAGGTGAAAAGCTAATCATGCAAGAGGAAGAAACATCTTTCTGTCCATCTGCCTTCCATGGGAAGGCTCACTGATCCTGTGCTCTGTCTCACCCAGCCCATAAAATAAATATGCCTGTGGAAATTCAGCATATCTTCCAAATAAACAAAGCACTGTCTGTAAGAGTAAAATGCTACTGTGACTCTCAAAGAGCTCCTCTTTTAGATTGGTAAAACACAAGAACATTTATTTACAGCTCGCAGCATTAATGTAACATTATGTGGAGCCATATAAACACATACATATATGGCACACAATGTTAGTCATTATCATATAATGTATACCATTTGTATATACATATATAAATATTTATGCAAATTAAAAGCCTATGCATTATAATTACTTGGCAATCATGGTCTCTTTCTTTAATCTTGTAAATTAAGAGACAGGAATAAGCTGTATGGTTTTCAGCCCTATATTGTAAAGGGGACAAAAACACCAAATCTGACTAGAACGGAGGAGACATTGCATTGTTATGTGTCTGGTGTATCACAACCCTCTAGTTCAAACTTAAAGCAAGTCAGTGCAAGTGAACAAAATCTTGAATTAGACGTTTCTCTCTCCTTTCAAATCCAGTTCTTTCTATGATTCCATGGAGAGTAAAGGAATGCAGGAAAGGATGTATGAAACTGAAAAAACAGTTTCAACTGTAAAGTTCACCTTGTAAAAAAGGATTATGTTTATTATACAAATTGTGGGCATTTGAAAATTAGTAGTAATCAAAAGACAAAGGTAACATCACCATAAAATAAGATGGACTATTTAAAGTGACCATTTCATATTCACCTGGTATATGTAAAAAAGTTCACTCCCTGCATTTCACAGTACCACTACCTACGTGGCAAAAACTCTTAACAAAAACCCAGGAAAAGCCAAGAGAAACAGAACTTTCAAAATTCTGAACAAATCAACAGTATTTTCAAATAAACAGATGAGAAACTGCACTTCTGTTCTTAGAAAGTTATATTGTCCAGCTCAATCCTCTCCGTACGAAAACACAGAAACACTAAAACCAGAGATACCTTCTTAGCATAGCTGTCTGCTTATTCTCTATTCTGGAATGTCTCAACTGAGACTCTGACCTAAAATCTTGGCTAGTACTTAGAACAAATGAATTTTTCGTAAAGCATTTAAATATCTTTTATTGAAAAAACAAGTTAATGATATCATTATCCCATTATACTTTAGTTCCAAAACTCAAGCATTATTTCTCTTTTTCTTAATTGAATCTTTCTAATCTTTTATCTATTTTTATTTTTCCCAATTTTTTGTTTTTAAGTATTTTTAACTTGTCATTTTCTTTATCCTATGGGCTAATAACAACAAAAAGATGCGATAGATACTAAATAATAACCATAGATGATATAGCAACATTATAAATACCTCCAAGAAGATAATCTAGTGTATCTTTACTTGGCTACCCTCTATTCTTGTAACTTTGCCTAGTAATACCTACTAATTGCAAAGACAAATATACAAAGTCATAAAAGATTAGTTTACGTTAGTTCCTCCAGCACAAAACTAAGCTGATTTGTGCATTTGTGAAAGATAAGCAGTGGTGTTTAGAGTGGAATGTTTCCAACTTACATTAACAGCACTCCTGAGATACTATCATATTATAACATAAGCACATGAAACTATTAATGATCATGTAATATAACAATAAGGTATAAACCAGTGTCTAAAAGAAATAGAAAAAAAAAAAAATTAATCTGCTATCTTGAAGAGGCCTTTGCTTTCTTCTCCAGTCAACACAATTACTAGTCCTGTAAATAATATGATTATTAAGACTCTGTCTTTGAAAAATTAATTAATTCTTAATATTAATATTCATATTTATTAATATGCCATTTTTACTTTTTCTTACTTTCCTTAAAGGTTGCACTTTGATGTCCAGACTGGTTTCACTGAGATTAATTCTCACAAAGAGATGATCCCTGTGCTTCTTACAACCTTTCTTCTGCCTGTGACACTGCATAGATTCTAGCAACACCACAAAGTCCTCCTAGCTGTAGCTAGCAAAGGCTAATATCAGACTTTTTCCCAAAAGAATCATAAGTGGAATACAGCATTTCTGGAAAACCAAATCAGAAAATGCCCTTAAAAACTGTACTAGGACAGCAGGCAAACTCAAAAAACTACCTTCCTTCCTTCCCCACAGAGAAGAATGATGAAAGAGGGAACCTTCTGCTTAACACAACATGATTACAGAGACTATACCTTTCCTCATGAGTAAGGGCTAACAAAGGAATTTTTGGGATTTGACTATCTTTTTGCAAATTTGCGATTGGTCTTACCAAAAAAAAAACCCAATCATTCACTACTTGCCCAAAAGAGGCTGGATATTTCATTAACTGAAGCAGCAAAGATACAACAGATTCTAAAAATCTATGTATGCTAAGCACAGAATTTACTTTTAAAATAGGTGCTATACTACAACTGCAGAAACATCCAACATATGGGCCCATTTCCCAACTAATTATTTGCTGGCTAAAGTGTTAAAATGTCCTTGGCTTCACCTTATACACAATCATCCCAGCTGGTCATTATCTACCTGGAAAGGGGCCAAAGAATCTCAGCTGTCAGTACTCAACAAACATGTATGTTTTCTTTTCTTTTTTCATTTACTTAACATTCATAGAGCTACTGTTAAAAGAAGGAAGCCTTATAACACATGGAAGTGGAAAAATTTTGTATCTCTTTTATTGTTGTCATTTAGTATACCCAAAATGCAGGTGATCAGTAACTCCTTAAAAATAAAGAACTCTTCAATATCTGTTTACTAAGAACTGATTCATCCAACTTTATTGACACCGGTTTTATTCTTGTGTGTTCCTACTTAATTTGACTGCTCCTTAGTTTTACAGAAATGCATGAAAAAACAGAGAAGTCTCTGAAAGTCAGAGCTGAAACAAAGTTATTAATTGCTGATGTATCTGCACAGAAGCAGTAAGATTCAATAGGAAAATATCTCTCAATCAAGTGAATGTTAACAGTCAGCTTGTAGCAAACGTAGCAGTAAGCTTGTAGTAAACCAGCAGGTCAACAGGTGGAAAGCAAATGGCTTTTCTCATTTGCACATTACTTCTGCAAGAAGCCACAGGACAGCTGGGAGAAGGAACACATGTAAACAAGGCAGACCTAATGATTTCTTAATTAAAAAGAAGATATTATCTTCCCATTAATAGGTAAATTAATTGACCGAAATCCAACAGTTTCCCCTCAGCACAAGTAAACATAGGTGCCTTTCCTTACTGAATTGTCACACATTTAGGCGAACCACTAAGTTGTCAGTTCTGCTTGATTTGTTTGGATATTGTACTCTGCAACAGCTGTCGGAAATAATACATTAGAACAGCTGTTGTGGCAGTTGCAAAGAGCCTGGAATTTTAATTGGACTGGATATTAATTGGGGGGCGGTTTCTTTTTTTGTTTTGGTTTAGTTTGGTTTTTTTAACCAAAGCTAAGAAAGAAATAGTCAGAGAGCAATAGACACTTTAGGGGATTGACCAATGTCTGGTTAAGCAAGGTTGGTCTTTGTTTTGACTATGTAACTTTGTGGCAGTGGTCTCCACCATCTGAGCGGGAACCGTTAGTTGCTTAAGAACAGGAGAATTAAGAAGAAAAATAGCAAGAAAGTTCCATAAATAATGCTTTGCAAATACCAGCTGTGTTCTAGAGAGGGTCTCATGGTGTTTTAAGAACTACTTAAAAGGAGACTCATTCCATGACCCTTAGTAACCACCAGCTGAAACAAAATCGTTCATCGTGGCCAAGACGTAAGCACAAACGAATAATAAGCTTACTTTCAGCATCAGCATAGAGCAGCAAGCACAGGAGTACCACCACTGGCGTGACAATGCGCATCATCTGACAGCTTGGCACCAGCATGCTTTGGCAGCCTTGTTCTCACTGGCTTAGAAGCCACTGCGAGCCTGTCCGGTCTGAAATTTCAGATGAAGTATTTTCAGAGCCTGTGGAACAGATAAGAAAAAGAGAAAAATACACTTAGCAAGAAGAGGGCAGAGATTTTCTGTTTCTTTCTGAGCGTTCACAAATTGAGGCAAAACAATTTTAAAAGACAAAAGGATAAAGGAGAAAGAAAATGAAACATGATTCCTTTTAGGCTACCGGTATATACCAGAAGACACCAGGTGTAGTATATGTTAGCACTGTTCCAACGTATTTCTCATGCACCTTTCTACCATAATCAAGCATCTGTCACACCGTGGATCTTGTGTTGTATTTGACAGCACCTTCTGAATCAAAAGAACTGTCATTGCTAATGAAGTATAATACATCACTGGTGTACTCATGTTGCAAGTAGGGAATCAGAGTGGATTCAATATCCAGAATAAAAAGTACACTTGTAAGCAGCATACTAGGAGACAATGCCCTGGTATCTAGTAAGAAGACCACAGCAAAATCTGCTTCACGAGGTATTCTTAAAACTAGACATGATATGATAGTATATTGCATAGTTCAACAACTCTCAATGGTTAAAATTCCTGCTGTGATTTCCTGTACGTATCTGAATCACACCTAACACAAAACAGAAATCCAGCATTGAATAAAGGACTGAGATTCCAGTTCAATCCATCTCATTTACTATGATGCGTAATTTAAAATGATACATTGGGAGCACTACAGATCAAATACCTGACTTTAAAAAGCTGTGTCTTATTCTTGTCCAAATTTACCACACTTGAGCAATAACAGAAACTAACGAATATAAAAATATTTTTCCCTCTCACAGGAAATACTAGAGACATCCCCAAATAGCCTGACACTCGTCAGTAAACTGAAACTGAAATGTAATTTTACTTTTCAAAGGGTCTGCAACTTATAAACTTTTGCAAATTTTATATTATCTTTTTCATTACCACATGAGTGGTTTCTGCGCAGTGAAAACAAAAACCAGAAGGGTGGAGAAAAAATTATACTTATTACCATTCTGCTAGATAGATCTTACGGATTTGTGTGTAGTATAAAGAGCCCATTTTACAATACACTGCAATGTTCAAAGAATCTACTAAAGAAAGAAAAGACATAAGCAGCTGTTAGAAATCTATGGCTGTTATGAATCTCTTTTGTAAAGCTATCTTTTGAACCAGCTACTGCCATCGAAAAATAGAAACCTAAAAAATCTTCATAGGCAGAGTGCTGAAGGCACCAGCTCCAGCCTTTCATCGCTGCCATCTTCATGGCAGCATTTCAAATGACAGCAACGTCCATGAGACATCAGTGCTGTCGGACTCAATTTGCGTCTGTGCAAGCTATCAGAGCCAACTGCTACATAATGGTTCCAATGCTATCACAAGGATGGAGATGTAGGAAATGTACTTTCAAGGAAGAGGTGATTCTCCTTGTGCTTCCTCCATGGAAGAAGTCACATGGGAGCCCTGAACTACCTCAAATAGCAGCTCACCTGTGGAGAAAAACTTTACCTTTTTATTGGCACACAAACCCACTACCTGATACGTGAAGGTGAACAGCAGAAACGTGATGGGTACTAAGATCTGTGTCTGAACCGTAAACTACTGCCTTTAGCAGGGAAGGAAGTGGAGAGAAAACAACAGTGATAATTAATAAGGGAAGCAGTAGAGGGGGGGGGGAAAGGTGACCACTACGATGATTGATTTATTCACTACTGTTTTCTAACAAGGCACTGGGGATTATTTTCACACACTCCAAACACTCCCACCAAGATACTAAATGTGTTATCTAACAGAAAAAATATTACTATCTGCTTGGAGAAAAAAGAGGAATTTTAAAAATCACATGATCCTTGTATGTGAATATGCATTTATCCTCTACAAGTTGTCTGTGAATGAAGGGATGGATAAAAAAAACAACAAAGAAAACACTGAGAAGAAAAATTAGCTTTTTTTTTTTTGTAATTAAAACCTCCCTTCCATTCTCTCACTCTAAATGTATATACAAGCACTTAGAAAGCACTCATTGTCTCTACTGCGAAGGTGATACTCATTATCACTCAGATCGTAAAACCCAAAGCCCTCAGTATTTCCTTTCTTTGCTGCTTCCAAGTGTCATGGCTTTAGCTAAGGTTAGCTAAACACGCTAAGGATCCCAGGAGAAACTTTGACTGTTGTTTTTTGTCTTCACTTGCTTATGCCTCCACAGTTAACTTCTAGTATCTCAGGTCAAGTAAACAGAAACACTTGAATAAAGATGTTGGATGGGTCCTTTTCTTTCAAGTGAGTTGAAAACACAGTTAGTGGAGGCATGCAGATTATGGGCTGATAACACTAAGAAGCAAGCCAAGAGACAATCAGGTGTTAGCAAGGTTCTCCACACAAGTCTGCCTCAGCTTCACCTACGAAAAACCCACAGCTTCAGCCAGGGACCTTGCTACTCACAGTTGTACCAACCATCTGTTATGTAGGTCTACACTTGGCTTATTTGTGTAAACTAACACACAGATACAATTCCTTACAAGAACGGAAGGCAATTATCAAACAAGTATTAACTTCCAAATCAAGTCACCTTCATAATTCCAATGGAAAATGTTAATCTAATGCATTATTAATTCTTAAATGAAGTAGTTTCTTCCCTTTTCTATTTCCTCCTGAGAATGATTTTCTATATCCAGAGTGTGGTTTGTCTGAAAACACAAACAGCATTTGCAGAACCAGCTTATACTACCCTCCTCATGGGGTGAACATCTGGCTTGCAGAATGAATCCAGAGTGAGGTAGTCTCTTAGAAGCTCCCTATTTCAACATTCGCACTGTGCCAATGCAGAAAGGTAGGGCATCTCCTTGGCAGAAGACTGATCACAATAGCTACAGGGAGATTAACAGTTATTTTAAAAAACCCTCTCTTTGTGCTTTAATAAATGCTGTTTCAATTTAGGATAAATACTGTGTAACTTCTGAATTAAATAATTAGAAGTGGCCCTTACAACATCTCTAAAAGAGCTACCCAGGAATAATTTCTTCCACAACAGCTATTTTGGTCCCTTCCCACAGACAAATTGTTAACGCAAAAGTGAAAAACAAAGGGTGGAACTAGGTAATATATCTACCACTAGCACATATGTAATAAGAGGACATATTTTCCTTGATTAGTGTTATCAATAAGATCAGTAAAAGCGGAGACATCCAGCTCCTGAGAGTGTTCAGTGCAGAGATACAGAAAAATTCTCAGCTTGGGCCTAGCAGATGATAGCACCTGGGTATTGGCACATGCACCAATTATCCTCGAAAGAATGAACCAGTTGACTGAAACATCTGAACAATGAACTACTTCAGTGGATGTAGCTAAAGTAATCTTTTAGGTGCTAACATGGTACTCAGGAGGAGATGGTCCCTGCTGCAAGACAGAAAATGCTAACCTGGAGGCAAATCTTAGAAACAAAAAAACCCAAACAAAACCAAACAAAAAACAAAAAACAAAACAAAATACCCCCAAAAACCCCACCCAAAAAAAACCCCAAACCCAAAAACCAAAATCCAAAACCAACCCAAAAATCCTAGTTTTATTTATCTGCCTGCTTTTCCATGCCTGCATAACCATGAAAATGTTTGATAACTCAACACAGAAATTTAGCACAGCAGGGAAGAGCTCTCAGACAAAACTTGAACATAGATAAAAAGTATGTCATAGCAGATGTAGGGAGGCACATAGAAAAAAACAGTAACATAGAAAATTTTGGAATACAGGAATGTGAAGATGAGAGCTCATTTGTGCTATTACACAAACAAGATTTCTAGTTCACCTCTTCTAAAGTTTGAAATTGTTCAGAGAAAGGATTTTAGTTCATGACCAACTCTGGTCTGCCACAAGGACTTATGGGAAAACAACCGGACACAGCTCACATTTTTTTAAAAAACAATGTTTCTCTAAGAACAAGTGTCAGGCAAAGACTGAAACAGAAGACTGTGTTGACATTCTGTTTTCACATTTCATTCGTCACACCCACAATCCTAAATTACATCCATTCCCAGCCACACATTTCTAGTACCATATATATGCAATTGAAGAGATAAAAAAAAAAAAATTTGAAACATTACTAGAACCAAGTCAAGGAAGAAGTGCCAAAACTTCACATCTTTGCATATCAACCAAGATCCCTTCTTAAAGAAAGAAAATAAATAGATTTCATAGACAAATCTTGGCTGCAAAAACCTGACTGACAGCTGAATCATTACTAGAAAGAACAGGAGAAAATGCATAAAACTAGTTCAGAAATACTTCTGGGTAAAACAATGTCTTTTAAAGGGAATTAAATGCATTTTCCAAAGCAATGAGGGAAACTGTCAGAAATTCTGCATTTAGCTTCTTGCTCTTTTATTGATTAAACATGATAAAAGTTTTCATAGTTGACCTGCTGGAGAAGTTGCATGATTCATTTTGTTTTTATTCTTAAAACCAGCCAAAATGCAAACCACATGATTAAGTGTAAAGGACAGATGTATCAAGTGTTCCTAAGCTTAGTCTTATCAGTCCCTGCATAAAAACCTTAAAGCTCCTCTATCTTTCCTCTATTACTTATTCCAACAAAAGTGAGCAACCACCCTGGTCAGCAGGTTTCTGATCTCAAGCAGGTCTTTGAACTGCATCACTAGAATAGCACCTCTGAGTTGCAGTGATAAGTGGAATTTTTGCTTATATGAAAAAACTTCATATTCACTCTGATTCTACATTGTAATTCTGTTTTGGACTTTGGGAAGGATTCTTCTTTTACCATACAAAACAGAAAACGGATTTTCAATAACCAAAGAAAAGTGAACAAATTAATTTAATGACAGCAAAGTATATATTAAATTTCATCATAGGGTTGTTTTTCTTATATAGAAAGTTGTTAAAAAGTTTGTCTCTTTCTACTCACAAAAATATTGAAGCTCATATGTAAACTTCAGCCATACAAAGAAAACTCTGCCTAGTCCAATCTTCACACAGCTTCACTCAAATTCTAAATCATGAACTAAAATACCAGTTTGTAAGTTGTC